CTGTCCAAACAAACAGCAGTGTGGTCATTCATGGATAAGAGAACAGGAGGAATGATAGATGGCGGCAACACAGCCTTCACATGTTCTCTGAATGTTACTTATTAAAAAAAAACAATACATAAAATCCTTCTTTTCACTAAAGCAAGTTAATGAATGATTATGATAAGATATATAAAGTACAAACACGAATGAAATTGCATTTACTTCTCTGATTTCCTCAATAGGTTACATCTGCATACTCAAGCCTACTGATAAACATGTCATTTGTAAAATAATGAACGGTCTTGGCTCAATCACGTTTTCAAACCCAGGTTTGGAGACAGGTCAGATTTGGTCAGCTGCAGAAAAGGTGCACACACATTACATACCTTCAGCTATTTTTTTTTCCTCATTGGAAGTAATGTTCAAGTTATTCTCCATTCAAGTGCCACAACCCTCACCAGGTTTTCCAAAACGCTTTTCACAACCACTACAGCATGGGTGTGAACGCTCAGGCGTGACCGTAATTGCAGCAGCAATCCGCACTTAAGTCAAACTATGTCAAGCTTTTGTGGTTGTTTTGTACTTGGCGTCTTCGCCTCCTGATTGTTCAAAGTTGGTACAAAGTTTGCCCTTTGATTATGAGACTTGCACCAAACCATTGAATCATAATTATGACTCACTGTAAGTGGGTGTGACATAGCATTGTTCACCTGTAGTTCGAGAGCCATTGTTTAAGGGAAGTATGCTATTTTGTCAGGAGTCAAAACCACCCAAAAAAAACAAAAATTTTTTTTTAAAGTTTACCCTGAGATGAAATCTCCATGTTACACATCCAATAATCATGTGAAAAAGGGGCATATTTTAGTGTACAGAACAGGCAACACACGTGGCAACGGTACAATATTAAGTACAATTTGCTGGTGTTCAATTTAAAGCTTCTTCTTAGCTCTCTTGTGCTGGGTTAAGCTACAATAGTGTAAGCGTACAAAGAGCACCATGCACCTGTGTAGTAGTGACAAACTCAAAGAGGGTCAGGTAGTCGTAGTTTTGGGGATTTAACACAGCAACAGGCACAAAAAAGTGCAAAAAACAGACTTGAAGAACAAGTGAGGAGTGCACCACCTAGCTCGGTTTGCAAATGCCTCAGCTGACTTTAAGGCTGATACAAGTTCTTGAAGGTAAAACTGCTACGTGTACTTTAAAGTTGTATTCTGAAGAAACAACCACCATACATTAGGCTCCTTTTATTTTGAGGTGTACAATTTCTTCAAAGCATCAACCAAAACAGGAAGAGAGATGTCTCACTTTTGCTAGAGCAACTCAAATTTCAGTGGGTGTCAGCAGTACACCGTTCCCAACAGCTGCATCCCTGCCAATAAAATTCCAAACAATCTTTTGACAGAGAAGAGTATAATTAACAACAGATCCAAATTAGGGACTCGTTGGAGTTGGAGGAGAGCGACATGTCAGCATGACATTCATTTATTTCTGGCACAGCTTCAGAATGAGTTTTGTGAGATTGCTAAAGTCATTATGTTTCAAATTCCACATGTAGCAGCTTTAAAAACCAAAGTACAGGCCAATCAGTTCATATGACTTATGGTATATGTTCATTCCCATCTTGAACATCTTATAAAAAGGCACTAATTGGGTAGACATCCAATAGAAAACCTGGGATCAAGATGTGACTCGTGTCCCAAACGTCAGTGGTTTAAAACTGTTTAATCAAACGTGCTTTCGGCTTCAGATTAGCAGTAGACTGCAGTAGTAAAACAGGTGCTTTACCTGACCCTAAATGTGTAATCCGACTAGAAACGTTGGCAGCAGTCGCATACAGGTGTACTTCACAGACAAAGTTAAGTTTCACTAAATGTGGATCATAAAAAGCAACAGAGAGAAACAGAAAACAATCATTTCAACTTATCAGAACACTGGAACCAAAGTCAATGGATTCTTTTAAATAATAAGACTAGTCAGAAAGTTGCAAATGCATTATGGAAAGGTTCAGAATGAAAGTGAGTAGTTACATATGCAAGAGGCAAAAAAAAAGGTTTGTCCAAGCTTAGATCAGGAAAAAAAGATATATGATAAACCTCAAGAAGAACTTGCATCCTTTTATGGTGACAGAGTTTAGCTTTGCTCCACCCCAAACTTCATCCTGCTCAATAAACAATCAACCATTGTTCACTTTGTGTCCCCATGTGATGGTAATGTTTTTAATTACTTTACACACCAGATCCAGGTTATATGGATAACAAAACTATATCAAAGTAGCAACTTTAAAAGTGCTTGCCAGTGGATTTTGTTACTCTCCAACACGGATTAAACCTCCTCCCAGACTAAATCCTAGGAAGACCTCCAGGGGAAAAAGTTTATGGTCTATCTCAGCTTAATCCATGTCTGGGAAATGGAGGCAGTAAGACATAGTAATGCTAGCTACTTCCCCATCTGGTGATTGTGCTGGTTTGACCTTACGTTTAACAGATGAAGTATGTAACTGAAACATTTTCCCAAAATGTCAGACTACTCCGGTTAAAACAGTTAGAAACTCTTGATGTCGACAGATTTTAGAGAGAAGTTAGAAGATCAAGGGTTACTGTGCTTGTGGAAACATGGTTTCATATCCACATGTTATTGCGACACATCTGACTCTTCACATACTTGTCATAAATCAATCCTCTAGACTTTCACTGGTCGGTGACATTTTAATTCAGTCAACTGAAAACGCTGGTCTTTGAGTGGGGAAGAAGGCGGCCAACTGTTCAAACAGCAAACCAAATGTCCTTCATTCATCAGCTCCAAAAAACTCCTAAAGACATTCGTCAAGACACCAGATGTTAAGTTTTAAGTTCAACATAGCCAGATCCCGCCTACATCAGCAACGTCAACCAAATGCAGTGCTGAGTGGCGTACTCTCTTTGGTTTGTGTTCAAATAGCGGACTGACGTACAGACAGGTGACGAAATATGAGCACATTTGTGCAAAGATGAACCCTCGATTTCGTCTCAAAGCGATGGTGAGTTCAGAAACTCAATTTATGATTGACAGCACAGCTGCTGTACTGTGTCTGTAGCTGTGTTGTATGCTACAGGCTTAGCTGAGACCTTTGCTGCAGAGTTTAGATACTTAGGAAGCCTGAGTAGACCATTCATGTGTTTACTAAGAGGATTTTCACATCCAAAAGTCTTAAACAGTCAAGATTTTAGATTTTGTTTAGATTTTAGATTGAAGGAATTTTAACTTAGTTGTTTTTTCATTATAAATGAGGCAATGAAGGCAAGTTCTTCTGATTAAAAAAAAAACAAAGCAAAAACAAAAGCACTTTTTTTTGTTACAATCTAATTAATGACCACCGTCATATTGTAATGGAAGCAGAGATCGTTAAAGAGCCCCTATAACGTATGCAAAGATGACCAAATGCTGAAATAATCAGATTTATATTCCTCAAGGATGACTTAAAAATGAGCTTAATCCTGCACGGGCATCTGTCACACTTAACAGAGCACATGACGCTAAAATGAGATTGGTTAAGATCTCGATGCATAAGAGTATAAAGCACCGGGTTTTCATTTGATAGTTGCTACTAGGTTTAGAGCTACAGATGTTTATTTACACTGTGGGTGATATTTGAAGGCCACAGGGACCAGAGAAAGTTATAAGGGACCTATTATGCAAAAATGTTTCTAAAAGGAACAAAATCAATCAATAAAAAGGAGGTCAGTAAGAAATCCCCATGAAGGGCAAGGTTTGTTTGTTTTTTTTGTTTGTTTTTTTTTAACTCAAAGAAAGATTACTGTAAACTGTGAATCATGCAAAGCCAGCATGGAAGTGATATCAGCACAATAGGTCCCATTTAAAAAAAACAAAACAAACTGCACCATGAAAAAGTGACAAAACGTGTAGATTTTTTTTGTTTGTTTCCATAATGAAAAATGTTCCAGCTACCAGATCACAGCTCAGCTCTTGGCCATATTTATATGTGGCGTCATAATTTCTTTTAATGCTCATTATCATCCATAATAGAATAATTCTATTATTCTATTCTTTTGAAGAATAATTCTTGTTTCAACTTAGGTAGTCTTTGCATTTCTATTCATGTTAATACTGCCCTCAAGAAACTAATATCTGAATGTTCAGTGTTTGAACCAGCCAACCCTTGACTGGGGCGGACCCCCACTTAAATTGATAAATACAATGAAACCAAGATCCAGAAATAAACTGAGCTCTGTTTTAATCTTTAAGTAAATGTATCTTAAAGATAGTTAATATTAAAGCAGAAAGTTAAATTCAGGCAGATGTGTCCTGAACACTACAAAGTCTGAGAACAGACACATGTCTGATATGCCTGTAAAGTGCTGAAGCACTATCTGCAACACAGCACGCTGAGCTTGGGGTTTTTCACCTCTGCAAACAGTTAAAACTGTTTCCAGCATTCTGAAGATTTCACATTTCCCGAGCAGATATCTGCTCCACCTAAAGGCAGGACGGTGAAGACCTCATACCTGCACACAAACTCACTGGATATGAGGACCTCATCTCTTTCTCCATACTACTACTTCTGGTTGGACCCAAAGGGGTTGATGTAAATTAATGGTTTCACCACTTAGAAGAAACACACACACTGCCTCCATTAATATGTCCACAGAGTCAGTCATCTTTTTGCACCAATGCTGACTGCAAAGCTCTGGATTTCTGGGATTCTTTCCAACCTGTAAATGTTGAGGAACGATGCAATAGAAAACGTCAATAGAGTAACAGGAAAGCAAATATTTTGTTATTTATATTATATAATAAATAATAAAACTTTGTTCATATATTTTTGTATATGTAAATTAAAAAAAAAAAA